TTTTTTTTTTTTTTTTCATACAATTCAAAACAAATGCAAATTTTACCTTACTAGAATTTTCTGTGTCTGCAATCTTATGCACTCTTCTTCTTCGAGGTTGCCTTCGTCCTCTTGGGGTAATACTTCGACTGAAACGTTCGCTACTTCTTAATTTTTCAGCATCACATTCAAATTTTTCTGTTTCTAAAACTGTTTCACAAGGTGAAGAAGTTGGTGGAGTTTTCTTGGATATAGGTGAAACATTTGTCCTTTCGTGTAAAGGAAGACTTCCACATCTCTATAAATAGAATAACTTATGTTCGTGAAACACAATTTGGATTTATACATTATATATTATAAGTATTGATATATATTATATAAGTATTAATATATAAATTAAGAAAACTTACCACACCATGACCCATGTCTTGTCCAAGTTGAGATAAAATATGTAAATGTTTTTCGCTATTAAAATCTTCGTGACTGCTCACGCGTCTAATTGTGTCTGTAGTTTCAGCAGGACTTTCAAGAACACGCTCCTCACTACTGCTTCTAAAAAAGTTCAATTCAAAAGAGAATAAAAGAATTCATTAAATTTAATACCTAATTTCTTGAATGAAAAACTATTTCCATTTCATTGTACCTTATCAATTTTCGTTCTTGACAACACGATTCGTGACGTTCTTTACGTTTGCGCGGTTTCAGCGCGCAAAGTAATGATGTACCTTCAAAATCTTTTGGTTCGTCCTTTGAATCTTTGCAAATTTTACAATCACTTACAGGGATCACACCGTTCACCACGTTATCACGGATGCTGAAAAATCAATAAACAGTGAACTTAAAAATTTCTATTAATAATATCATTTTTAATTACTTCTTACAAAAATATTATTAATTAATATAAGAATTTAAAAATAATAAAGAATTATGAAAATTCCTAGTACTAACATGAAATTTTTAAATATAATTTTTGCTTTAACAAGAATAAAAAAATAATGACAAAGAGAGAAATTGATATCTAATTTATCAAATATATAAATAATTAAATTATGTACGTAATAGTTATATATATAATAATTCTAATAAATATTTTCGTATAGTATAACAAAAAATAATATTTTTAGTTTTTTAAACTAATTTTTATCTTTTATCATTATTTTTATTACCAACTCTTACTTTTGTATAATTTTGTATAATATGGCATTCTTTATTAGATTGTAATAATATAAATCATAATTTAAATAAAAGGATTAACTTAAAAATTTATAATATGTAATATCATAATAATGTAATAATAAAATAATAAAACCATAAAATATATTTTAAATGCCAATAACAACAGAAAGAAATAATAGTAGCAGTAGAATTATAGTAATAATAGTAATAAAAATAGTAATATAGTAGTAAAAAAATTACAATATAAATATCTATATTAAATAATCTGTTGCAATAATATTTATAAATATTAATATTTGCATACATATTTCAATACTTTTTTCAAGAATATAGTTTTGAATATATAAGAATTACAAAATATATATGTATTTATATATATATTAATATATAATAATAATTTATTTTTAATATGAATATTGATATTAAAATATATGATTCTATAATTTTCCTGCAAATATTTAATAATAATTGTAATAAATTTATATATACTCGAATTTTATATTCTTCCAACTTTTTTATTTAATTTTTTTCAACTATTTTTTAGCCCAATTTCTATTACTAAAAATAATGGTTAGAAATTATGATGAGAATTACCCAACATTCATAAAAGCAACTGAAAATATTACTAATTTTTTTGAATAATGAAATAGAATATGAGATCATATAATATTATATTACTCGAAGGTAATTAATATTTATTGTTTTTTATGTACATGTAATTAATTACATATAAAATGTCACCAACTGCAATATCAAATGCATTGAATACAATTATGATTAACATTACACATTATCTATAAAATTATCTAAAATTATAAATCGAATTAAATTTTGAAGAAAAATGATTTAAAAAAAAAAATGATTTAAAAAGAAAAAGAAAAAACACAATATATTTGTCACAGAAATCGAAAAATTGTAAGGAATAGTGGCGAAAAAAATTGTAGGATAAAATATTATAAAATAATTTATAATAAATTTCCATACTGATAAGATGTAACATATTACTGTATTTACTAATTTCAGCTATTTTATTTCTTTATAAAGAAATAATAATAAAATGTTGTATATTATCATAAAAATATATAATCATAAAAAAGAAAATAATGAATCATAATCAATCAATTATTAAAAAATATATCTTGCAATGAAAAATAAATTACATTATTATATTTATCAAGCTTTCAGAATGAATTCTTTAGCATTAAAAAAATTTTGTCATTTTGTTTATTTAAAAAGATGATATTTTTGTGAAATATAAAAATATAAAAATATAAAAAAGTAAAATTGAATTTTATAATCAAGTAATTTTTTAAAAAGTATATTCTATTATTGTAAAAAAATAAAAATAAATTTCAATATTTTTAATAATAAATCAATGTATTTTTTTTAACATAAGTTAAATTATTTCTAATCATTAATTTAAAATTAAAATAATTATATATATATATATATATATACATATCGCAATAAGTTATTGGTAAATGAATACATTAAAACTTCCAATTGCGTAATTAAATTATTATTTAATGAAAAGTACATGAAATAATTCTAACTTTGGAAAAAATATATATATTTTATGATATATATTTATTATAAAAATAAAGATTAAAAATAAGTTATATTTTTGTAGATGTTTTTTTACTAAATTTTATAATAAGCACTAAGATTTTGTACATTGATATTACATTGATATTATGTAATTTATTGTATTTCTATTTTTAATCTTCTTCTTTAAATCGAATTATCTTTTGTATTAATATTGTTTTGGATTCAGCTTATTATGTTAAAGGGATCAATTTCTTAACTTGAATATTTTTTTAATGCCTGAAATTTATGAATGATAATTGCATTTATATTTTTAACAAACTCACAATATCAAATAGAAAAATCCATCCTTCAATTGCGTGTCATTATGGAAAAGTATGTAATAAACTTACTGTACATATCCCTTTTGCTGTAGCAATTGCTCATGTAATCACGAACACTAACTTTCTTTTCCAATAGCGGACCACCGGCACGAACGCAAGTCTCTCGATGATTCGATGGAACATTTATGGTTGCCTGCTTGAGGAACTAGATGAGAGAGCGTCCTCAGTCGATTTGTACGTAAAGAACACGCACACTTTTTATTTGAAAATTCCAAAGAACCGTTGCAATTTATAATGAATAAACAATACTTATTTCCCGCATAACTAATTAAAAAAAAGTTTGCTAATTTGGATTGAAAAACGTGTTTAGAAATTTGAACAGGATATTAATTTTCAAGAGAGAAACTAATGAAAATGACAAATTTTTATATTCATGTATCTTATAGCTTTCGATTTAATAGTATACGTTAATTAAGTAGAACTTCCGATTAATCTGCACGAATCAGAAATCAGATTGCAACTGCGACGTATGACGATCGACTCTCCTCTATATTCTGTTGCTACAAGCTAACTGATCTTATAGTGTATAATTTGTCTGCATGTGACGAGTTTCTGAGTCTGTATATAATGTCTATCAACCATGAACATATAATATACATGACAGCCTCGAATCGATAATATCGAAACTTCCCGTATTCTCGTACTCATATTCGATTAGTATCGATTATACATGATTTCACACGATACTCTTGCTAGCTTGTTAAATTACATATGATCTTTTTTTGTCAATTTAATGATTCTTAATTTAAATTGCTTTTTATTTGGCAATTTAAATAAAATACTTGTTAAAATTTAATTTGATTGATTTATACGAAATTCTCAAAAGTTCTTATGATAATAATAATAGCTTGATACTTAATTCTAACAGTAGCTCTAATGATAACCTTTATATTCTAATCTAACGTTAGCCTCAATGATAATTCTATTAATTTAATTTATTTTTTCTATTCAATAAAATATAAATCTGCATTTATTAAAATAAGATAAAATTAAAATCATTATTATAATATAAAATTTCATGAAATCACGATCTATGGCAAATATAACTTGAATACCTTAGCATCGCATGTTTGGTATCCTGACTCCTGACGTCAACGAATCGTTATTTTTGGTCGCCAATGTACATTTAGCGCGGAGCTACATCGTAAAATCACCGGTAATAGGATACAGACATATTTTAACTATGAACATTTGTGACGATCATGCTCGATTTGTAACAGACCTTGAAAGAATTTTAATTATATACATATATGTATATATACTCTTTGTAAAACCTTCAATTGTCAGAAAAAATTTTCCTCTAATGAAAAAAGCTATTTTTAAGTAATTTTATTAAGTAATATTTATCGGTCGTTTCAATTACATTTTTATATTTATTGTTTATTTATTTAAATATTATATTACATCATTATATAAAATTAATCAAAAAATATGTAATTACATGACAAAAAGAGATCTCGATTTTTAGATTATTTTCTTTTATATATTTTTCGTTAAAATTGAATTTATTAAACGATTCTCTTTGCTCTCTTATATTGTATATTTTTATATTTATGATCAATAAAAATTTGTTAAGATTTTCGTATTATTATCATCGTATTATTATCACATTATATTATTGTGTACATAAAATATAATGATATTATATTGATATATAAATATATTAATATATTGATATTATAAAATATACAATTTCTTATAATTGGTATTATTCAAACAAAATTGATTCAATTATCTTAATGAAAAATATTGCATAAAATAAACGAAATTATAAACATTCGTAGTATTTCATAAATAAATATATTACGAATTTTTTTATATTTCAATTTTTTAAATCAATAAGCAAAAATTAAATACAAGAGGACTCAAGAGGAATAATATAAGCGAAAAATGATTCTATGTATGTATAAAAATAAAAATAAAAGTATTTTTTTATTTAAAACTTCATTTTTGAATAAATTAAATTTGAAAATTTTTTATGCATAACTGAAATTGATTAATTCCTGACCGATAAGTGAAATATAAATGAAAATAAGTGAAAAGTTTGCAAATTTTAAATGAATTTTATATTAGTATTCGATAAAATAAATGCAAACATAAAAAATCAAGATAGTAGATAAAGATAGATTGATAAATTTTTTTTTAAAATCTGTTCTTATACAATTTAAAACAAGACATGCTTTGTAATTTGTCAAGAAACCAACACAAAAACTATTAATAATCTACCGCTATTATGTAATTCATGTGACTCAATGACTATTCAAAAAAAAAAAAGTATTTATATCAAATTTTATTAATGTTCAAACATTTTTAATTAATATAAAAGTAATATTTGTTCTTATATTTTTTATTTTGCTGAAAAATTTATTATTAGTTAAATATCAAATCATAAGATTGGATGATTTCTCATCATCAAGCTAAATCGAGGAACTGCGCACTTTATTGGTAAAGTTAAAATAATTTCAGCCAAAATATCAAGGTAAAGTTTCTTGCAGTGAAATAATATACAATGTATTAAAACAGTGTTTTTAAAACACATTAAGATCTTTTGATACATATAAAAAAAAATTTATAAATTTTTATAAAAATTATATAAATTTAAAATAAATAATAAAATATTTAAGTCTAAAATAAAAATAATTTCTTCAATTTTCGAATAAATATAACAAACAATATAAATGTCATTTTTAAATCATAATAAAAATAAACTAAAGAAAATTGCTACTATTGTTCTTATATGACGAATATTGATATTAAAATTATTTCAATAGTAATTCTAATGTATTTTATTATGTATTTATTATAAAAAAAAAAACTAATTCTTATATTAATCACTCTTATTTGTTTTTTTTTTCTTGTTTTTCATTAAAATTGAAATTAAAATAAATTTAAACTGTTTGTGATATTGATATACATAAACACATATGTTATATGCTTTAAAATGTTAATCAAAAAATAAGTATGAAACAAATATCAATTGAGATTTAAAAGATTTTAAGAAAAAAAAAGATTTGACAATATAGAATAATTTTAAAGTCGAGAATTAATGTGTACTAATGTTTTAAATAGAAAACAAATAAATTAAATTAAATAAATAATAAATATAAGTATCTATTTTAAATTTAAAATATATAATATTAAAAAAATTGTTAACTCATAAAGTCTCTTACACGTATTTAATATAATTAAAATAAATTCATAAAGCATTAAAAACTATTTCATTGCATTTTTTTTTTAAATTACGACCACAATAAACAATAATATTATAATCGTATCTCTCTTTAAATGGAATCAAATTATGCATAAACTTAAATTAGAAGTTTTAATGTTTATTAATTAATATTGTAATTTAAAGCAAGTATAATGAAATGATAATGTTATTAAAAATTATAAACATATTTTATAATTATTTCATAATTGCATTTTTTATAATGAAATATATTTTGAATTTATATTTCTTTTTTCTCTTTTTTAATCAGAATTAATTAAAAATATAACTATTATAAATATTTAAATAATTTTTATACATATCTTTTAATAAAAAGAAAAGAAAAAAATATAAGTTGTATTTATACAACTTACCAGTCCGGAAAAAGTGTAGATGCTTCAGCTAAGATATCACGAAGAAGTGTGGTAGCAGGTGGAACATGAGGTAGAATCACAGGGGCAAATACACCACAAACACCGGCACTACGTCCATGTTTTGCTTCATATTTGCTTAGATAAAGAGCCAAATAACCAAGCAAACGATAATGGGAAGATGGTAGAGTTGATAGAAGCTCTTTCGTTAAATTAATCCAACAATCGTGATCGTTAGTATAATTCTCTATAAATAAATTCAACATGTTTTGTCTTATAAATTAAAATTTTATATGAAAAATAATAATAATTAATAAATGCTTACGGGCATGAATGGTCAATAATCTAGCTACAAAGGTTGATGGTACGACAGGTTGTGGCAATTCTTTTAGGTATTGCCGAAGAAGCGTTGCTGCAGTCAAAGGACAAGCTGCTGCTTCTAAATCAGCATCTCCTCTTCTTTCAAAAGTAGCCCTCAATCTTTCTGCCAATCTTGGACTTCCACCGGAGAGACGAAATACGGCGGCACTTTGAAATCCATGAGTTTCAATATAATTACACAATCGATGTACTACAAAAGGTACACCTGTATCAAGATACGGCTCAATCGAATCTAGCCGAGTACCAAAAATCCTCGAAGATCCTCCGTTACGTCCCAATAATGATACTGCCAGAACGCGTTTCACTTTTGCCAAACGTGATTCATCCTTGAAAATGATTAAATATCATATATCATTATTAATGTTTACAATTTTTATAATATCACAAATTAATTAACATTTGAAAAATATGAAACGTACATAAGGAAAATTACCTTGTCGTGAACTTGTCGAGATCGTGGAGGGCTACTTGAAGATCCATGATGATGATGATGATGGTGATGATGATGATGGTAATAATGATGATGATGGTGGTGGTTGTTGTGGAGATGGTGATG